CAAGGAGACATTCCCAGATGCTTTTGGTGAGCCATGGGGGCTTATGCGCCCTTCTGCTCCCTTTGATCCTCGTTGGGATTACCTTCCTTTGGGCTTGGAGGATCATCTCCTTGAGGAGCAACCACTCTCCTTGGACACCTGTCTCCCCTCCCCTCCGGGACCTCAGTGCTTCCCCAACTATCCTCCTTAGGTCGTTGAAATTTGCCCTCCTAAAATCCAGGGCCGCTGCCTTACTGCATGCCTTTGCCACCTTGTGCTGGATGGTGAATTCCAGCAGGCGATGATCACTGTCGCCCAGGTGGTCGAGCACCCGCAGCCCCCTCACCAGGTCATCTTCTAGCCCTGTTTCTGTATGATTGAAGAACCAGCTTTCAGGTTGAATCCAGTAGCGGGCACCCACATTATGGGAGAATAAGCAAGCCAGCAGTGCTTGTTCACTCAGCTACACAAGCTGCCAGACCCCAAGATCCCAAGCTATTTCCTTCTCCCAGACATAAAGTGGTTGTTTTGCACTCTCTCCAGAAAGAGTATCTGAGACTCCACTCCCTGCTGTATTGTGGCATCGGGCACCAGGTGCTCTGCATCCTCCCTGGTGCCAGCCCTGAGATGCTGGCATTGGACAGCTGATGAACGGTGCTGTGCAGGAGTTGCAGTGTCAATCTACGTAGACCAAGTGGATGCATCACAATCAAATATCTGCATTAGATCAATAAGGGGGAACCTATAAGGGACTAGATTGCTCTCTTAGCTGATCAGAGCAACACATACCAGGGCTTAAAAATGCCTTCATCAAGGTAACTCTTTTGTTAATGACACCAATCCCTGAATGTCTTTGAAGGGTCCTTCAGGAAAACCAGGACCTGATGGAGACCCGGGTTCTCCGGGACTGAGGGTGAGTTTCACTCGTGTGGTGGAGCACACGTGAGGGACCATGTAGCTCTTCTGTAGTCTTGTTCTAAAAACAAGAGCCTTTGGATTTCACTCATTTCATGTGTTTTGAGTGTTTCCCTCAGAGCAGGCCTCTGGGGCAGTTTTCAGCATTATCATGGTGCCACAGAGGGGCCAATGGAAGATTAGATGGGCTCTCTGGTGTGAGGTGTGCCACACAACAGGTAACTAAGGGCACAGACAAAGGCTCTCACCACCTCTGAGCCTGAGGATTTTATGCATCTTTCAATGCATGCAAACAAGTGCCTTGTATTCTAGCTGCTGTGCTCCCCGTGAGACTATAATTGCCATTTCTGAACGGTCTGGCTTGACTCACAGCAGAGAAAAGTGACCCAGCCTCTTCTCCCTTCTCCATGCTTTCTGCACCTGAAGTGCTCATTCTTTTCCCACATTTGCTGCAAGCAAAGAGACTTGTGTCTAGGTGTGGTTTCTCATAGGAACCATTCACCAGTGGTGCTTAATCGTTTTGGCTGAAGGGCTGAAAGGGCAGTGGTTGGTCCGTCTGTGAGTTAGATCTGGCTGGTGGTCCTGACCTGGCACCTGGGGTGGTTGCAGTGGGACCCCATCCAGCCATGGGGTGGGAGGGCATCTGGCCCCAACCCAGCCCTCTGAAGGAAGAAGGGGATTTGACACTGCCCTGATCCAGTTGCAGGGGAGGAGGCATGGTCCAGCCTTGATCCAGCCGAGGAGGGTGGGGGAGCAGCGTGGCCTGGCCCCAACCTGCTGCGCACAGCTTGGGTTTAGGAATTTAGCAGTGGGGGAGAGTGGCTATATTAATTGCAACTGCTCCCCCACTGCTAAATTTCCCAACCCCTGGAGAGCCCTGCAGGGCAAATGCCATGGCTCCATGGGTTGCATTTGGCCCATGGGCTAGAGGATGAGCATCCCTGATTCAGAGCATTCGTGGTCCCTACTGAAGCCAAGAGGAGCAGCAAATATTTAGCTCCTCTTAGGATTCAGACTAAAACGTGTCTGTTTATCTGAGTTTTTAGTAAGAAAGACCCCTGCACCCTGCCTCTCTGTAATCCACTGCACTGCTCCTTTCTTGCTAGCATTGGCAGCAGGACTGGCCTTGTGTGTTCAGACAGCCTGTTGAATTTTAATTTCTTTTTTGGCAGGGTCTGCTTGGTAAACCTGGCTTGGAGGGACCTCAAGGACCTGTCGGCATGTATGTAAGTGATAGCCATGCCCACCTGTTACCACTGCACAGTGGTGCTGGGCAGTGAGGAGGCAGATCTATGACAGCACATGGGATAGAAAAGGTCTGAGCTTGAAAGAAAAAATAGCTGTCCAGATGCCTGGTATCCAAGACCAGTCCTAGAAGGAGTTTGCTGAAAGCAGCCCATCCCACACCTTTGGCTTCCTGGGATATCACCCTGGAATTTGCTGTGTGTTGATACCACTTGTGCTCAGGCCAACTGCTGGCCAGGTAGAGGTTGTGCCGATGAGAGCTGCTCACTCGAGTCAGCCCACTTTTCCAGCCTTGATCCGATGCTTCCATACAAAGAGCACCTGCCTTCCTCTCCTAGTCCCAACACCATGGTTTGTGTCCTGAGGGGCTGACCAGATGGTGTTCCTGGTATTGTGGCATCAGTAAAAAAAGAGCTCTTCGTCCAGTGTATGTGGAAAACACCCACAGTTGCTTTGTGTAGTTTTCACTCCTGATTCCCAGGCTTTGGTGCTGGGTGGTTGCCTGTAAACCCTTCCCATAGTGATTGGTCATAAGATCTCCACTTTTCCTCTAGCAAGATAGCTTGAATGGACACCAGCTCTTGCTCAGACCCTCTTCTGCTACAGCAACATAGTATTAGACAGTCCCCTCGAGTGGCACGTACTAGTTGGTGTGGGAGGGCAGTGGTCTATTCCGTTTTTAAATCACCAGTTGTGTAAGCTTCTCCTACACACGACAGGGGGAGTAGCTAGCTAAGCACCGTGTAGCTGCCTGTGCAGCTGGAAGGAAGAGCTCTGTTGCTACCAGGCCCTCGTGCTTGTTATAGGAGGGTATTGAAGTTTTTGAGAAGAACCAAAAAGGCAGAGACAGTTTTTTTTTGTTTTTTTTTTGTAAATGCTCTACTGTTGATGATGGCTTCCATCTCATATCTTCTTTATGAGTGGTGTCATTTCTGGGAAGTGAGCTCTATGCAGTTGGCTTCTTCCACCTCTACTCAAGGTGAATACTGTGCATTAGACATAACTGAATTAGGTTAATGTGTTTCTCTTCACCAGGGCTACCCAGGACCAGTTGGGGACAGAGGGAAGCCAGGACCTATGGGTGAAAAGGTAAGACCATAAAAATGTATTGGTAGGAACTCAGGGGAGACCTTACTGTTAGCCATTTGCATGACAGTCACTCTAGGAAGAGTGAGCTCCTTCTAATTTGAGGGACACCCTGGTTTAGGGTGTGACATAAAAGAAGGGAGGCTCTTGAATGGGGCTTTTGCATGGGAATAGCTTCTGTAGGGTGAAACACTACTGTGCTTCCAGCATCTGTTATCTCTTGTATCACTTACATGTTCTTTCACCCCTTTGCATTTTTTTTCCTGAGTGAGACCAAAGTTTGATGTCAAGGGAGGTAACGGTGGCGGTTGCTCAGTCAGCCTGTCTGCTTGCTAGCCCTGTTAAGAAAAACCATCTAACAGAAATGTAGGGCGGAAGCAGTCAGTATGAACACGCTGAAATCCTGCTGCTTCCATTAATTAGTTTGTGTTAGTACCTGAGCTAGGGCTGACTCATTACATTCCAAGATAGATGTGGATTTTCCCCTGGATTAGGAATATGTATTTCTATGGGATTTTTTTTTGTTGTCGTTTGGCTCATAATAAAAAGCACGTTAAAAATGTTGGATGTTGAAGAACATGGATTTTGGCTCAGGCCTCTCTCTAATGAGTTCAGGATACTTATTTGTATGTATAGCTGTGAGGCCATGCTACAATCTCAACCCACAATCCAACTTTCTGTCTTCACCAATATATGCGCCAATACAACTCCCACCTAGAATTGAGCAGATAAGGCTGCGGTCTGCCTGGATTGATTTAAGGCTCATCAATTCTCCTCTGCTGTCTGCAAAAAGGTGGTTACCAGTGTTGCTTTTACATGAGAGGTTCTTTACCAGATCATAATGGATAAAACCTTCTTCTGCCTCTTCTTACAGGGAGAGCCTGGAGTCCAGGGCCCATCAGGATTTCCAGGAAAAGCTGGACCCAAAGTGAGTATTGTTCCTTAACTGTCTGGAAAAATCATCCTGTAAGTGATACATGGCTTCCAGTGGTAGGCTCTGGTAGTGATCTGCTGTCAATTAGTGCAGTAAGGTGTGGTGAGAAAACTTCCCCCACCATCATCAGGGAATTTTAGGAAGTGTGGAGTTAGGTGCAATAGCTGCCTGAATATTTCCTGTGGGACTGTGTACGTAGGAGGCAGAAAGGTCTTTAAACAAGCCATAGCGCAAAAACATTCAAGAGAACCAAGGCAAGTTTTTCATCCTGGAGAAGCGAAGGCTCAGGGGGATCTGGTGGCAGCCTCTAAGTACATCGGGCGTGTGCATCAGGAACTGGGAGAATGTCTGTTCACCAGCGCACCCCAAGGGAAGACAAGGCCCAATGGTCACAAACTCCTGGAAGACCATTTTAGGCTGGTCATAAGGAAAAAACTTCTTTACCATCCGAGTCCTCAGGGCCTGGAATAGACTCTCCCCAGAAATGGTGCAAGCACCTACTCTGGATGCTTTTAAATGACACTTGGATGCTTATGTTACTGGGAGCATTTGACCCCAGCAGACTTGCTGCCCCTTAGGCGGGGAACTGGACCCAATGATCTTGTGAGGTCCCTTCCAGCCCTAATGTCTATGAAATCTATGAAGTTACCAAGGCTGTTCTCTCTGCCTCTCTCCTTCCTATCAGGCTCCACCTGGCCCTCCTGGTTCAAGAGGTCCCCCCGGCCTCCAGGTATGTGTTGCCTTGTTGTTCTTCTCTGTGTATGTGGTGAGGTATTTCAGGCGCTGAAAGGATTAGGCCAGTTTTGCACACTCAGTGAATGCAGGCATGAAAGGCCAGGGCACAGGCAGGGCCCTCCAGCAAGGCTGAGGCATCACTGAGCACTTTTGTAGCTTCATGGAGAAGAAAACCTCTCAGTGCCAGAGTTAGCCTAGCCCTCACACCAGTCAGGAGGCAGTAGGGAACTGCAGTCACCCCACTGTGGTTTCCCAGGTTTCCCTTTAGAGAGGCCCCTCTTGACACTTCTTTGGCAAGTGTGGAGAAAGGTATTTGTGGGAGCAGTCTTTGGCCTGCTTGCATGAGCACCCTGGTTGGGGATTGTAGCTCCTGAGGGGAAGCACAGCTGGAGGAAACAACCCTGAGGGAGAGCAAGAGGCCAGGGATTGGGACCTGCTGGGTACAGTCAAAGTGAGAGTGAGGGCATCTCCAGCAGTGTCCCTGCACAGCACAGGGTGCATCGCTCCTCACAGCAGGGGCTCCTGGACCATGCTGCAGCAGCATGTGCATCACTTCTGACAGAGCACATGAGGGGCCCTGACAGGGCAGTCCTGGCACCTGGGGAGAACCAACTGAATGGACCATGCACCCTGCTGCAGCAGCATCGTGCAGGTCCCAGACTCCCTCCCCAGGCTCATCACTCCTGCCCAGGCAAAGGGGAATGATGATGCTCCTACCCTGGCCTGCGACAGGCTTTGACAAAGCAAGGGGGACACCCCCTATTCTTCGCCTGCTCCGTGCCGAGGCCGTTGCTGTGGGAGAAGTGCCAGGCTGCATTCTGGAGCAGACGCAATTCATTAGTTCCAATTAATCTGTGGGAGCACTTGAGCTGTGTCAGCTCAGCATGAGATCTTCATCCTCCTGTGCAAACAAGACCTCTGCAAGGGGAGCCAGAATGTCTCATTCTGCTGGTTCAAATGGTGCTGTGGTGTGAGGCCCTGCTGAGGGACCAGTGCAGCACCAGTAAAATCCCCTCAGCTGCCAGGGGTGAGGAGAGGGCAGGGAACAAGGCACTGCCTTGGGGAAGGGGATAGTGTAGCTGGGGCCGGCGATGCTGCAGCGAGATTGCAAATAGCACTGTGTGAATGGCTCCTACCCCCACAACTCCTGTGCAGGGGGATCGCATTTTCCAACAGAAAATCTGGGGACCCAGGGCTGGCGAATGGCCCAAGGGAAGCTTTTTGCTGTGCAAGATGGGAATTGACGGGAGGTCAAAATGGTGGCAGCCAGAAGTTGCTGCTACCTCCACGCATTGCTACTGCCCCAGGTGCTCAGCTTTCCCTGTTATTGCCCCTGCCTCCCCCCTTTCACTTGCTACTACTCAGCCATTAACAATCTTTGTTGCAGGGGAGACTAGGAGACCCGGGTCCTAGAGGGCTTCCAGGATTGCCAGTAAGTGAAAGAAGTATAGGGGTGTGAATGCAGAAATGCCCGTGGGTAGCACTGGTGGAGACAAGAAGATCCATCCAGATCAGAGACATGTTTATTCATGTCAGCAAAATAATGTGGTGGTCTCAGTCCAGTTCTCAGTGGATGTATATCCCGAGCCACCTGCCCATACTCTGTTCATAACCCTCTTAGTTCTGGGTGGTTGCATTTGACCTTTGGGAATTATATCTCCAGCTGCTCTGTGTGTTATTTGTCAGGTAGATCTGAACCTATGGATATATTTATCAATGCCTAATTGTTCCTTCTTCCATACAGGGGCTTCCAGGTAGTCAAGGGACAGATGGCACCCCTGGCAAACCTGGTGTGGTGGGAGAAATGGGACTCCCTGGACCTAGTGGGGCTGCTGGACCTGCTGGCTATGTGGTGAGTACAGATGCCAGTTCCTTTGGTTGGTGTACAACATAAGAACAATGCCATCAGCTGCTACTTCACTTCTCTTTCTCCTCTTAAGACATGCTGGTGGTAGCTGTGATCAAAGCCAGAATCCTGAAAGGGCATTCTCCTCCTCCTATCCAGCTGTGTATCTTCTTTGCCATAGTTGTAGCCTGCAAAGCTGCAGATTTTCTGGTTGCTGATTACCTCAGCTTCCCAGCTAACGTGAGATTGGGTACATAACCTTGACATACAAAGGTCTGCAGGAAAGAAGCTACCTAGTTGCTTCCCATTCTCTGACTACTTTCTGGTGAAAAAGCTTTGAGATAACCAAGAAAAAAATCCCAGTTTTAGGGCATATGCCACAGTGATCTTTTTACCTCCCATCTGGGCATGCTAAGATGCTTTAGTGCAGTGGTCACCAACCAGTGGATCTTGATCCACCACTGGTAGATCTCAGAGCCTCTTGGAATTAATCTGAGGCTGCGGTGGAGGGCTGAGTGCCCGCATGCATGCACATGCATGCCCCAGCCCAGCAGGTCAGTCTGGGGGTGGGGGAAGTGGCAGGGGTTGGATCACGGCCCCCACGGTGAGGGGCAGTGCCACAGAGGCAGGACCAGGGGTAAGTTGAGTGGGGCCCCGTCCGGTTGGGACTTACTTGCTGGGGAGGTGCACCCCCAAATCATTTTTTCTCCCTCTGCCTTGATCTGCCTCCCCCTTCCCTTCCCACAGACTTACCTGCTGGGTGGGTGGGAGGGGGTAGCAGCAGCACATGGTAGATGTTGGGTTGCTATTAAATGCCAAAGGCTATCTCCTACTTAAAAGGTGGAGAACCACTGCTTTAGTGGTGCCATTGGTTCCTGTCTCAGAGGGGTTGGCAGCTGCAAGAATAAAGGCTGAATTGTAAAAAGTGACTTGAGATGTTGAGCTCCCTCTAGGACGTGATTTCCAGGGGGTGGGCAGTCGGCAGTGTCTGACAAGCAGGCCGCTGCCTATGGTTTCTCAGGTTGGTTCTCTCAAGTCACTTGTCTCTTTAGAAAATCTTGGTCAGTTTAGTATCAGCTTATCAAGGTAGCTGGAGCCAACCAGTGTGTGAGATCAATGTTGTCTTGTCTTACAGTACTGTCAGATGTCTCAAACCTCATGACACTTGATTATTGTGCATAATTAATTGGGATTTCTTTGATGAAGGAAAATGCATTTGCTGTGTAGGGGTTTACTGGGTCCTTGTTCTTCCTGGGGGATTCAAAGCATTCTTCCTTCCTTGTGTTGTGCAGGGTGCACATGCTATCAAACAGTGTTTGCTCACTGGCTCCCTCACTAAGGCATTTAACGCATTGACGTAATGTTGTGCACTCCCTGTGGGGTCTTCCCTGGGCTCTTTAATGATGTTGCAGGCCAAATATTCAGCATACAGTGTTTGTGGGTGGTATCTGAGAGCAGTGGTGGATTATGACATGCTGAGGCCCTAAGCTATGTCCAATTTAAGAGGCCCCATACAATAAAAATAATCCAAAGTATGTATATTTTTGTCATATTAGAATGAAAATGTCCATATTTCGAGAGTCATTTCTCCATATCTCCTTTATTTACCAACTTATTTCTCCTTTATTATCTCTTTTATTATAAAACTTGATATTGAGTCAATTTTTTTTTCTGATTTAGAGGCCCCTCATATTGTGAGGCCCTAAGCTGTAGCTTAAGCCTAAATCCGGCACTGCCTGAGAGACCTTTTTATGCTTGAATCATGGCACCTAACCTAACCTAACCTTTTGGTTTCTGGCATAACTGGAAAGTGCATGAATTTTGTAGCTGGGTGTTCACTTGCTTTGCCAACTGACCTTGTTCTTCCCATCTGGAGTATTGGGTGCTCCATATGAGGCAGTGATATTTTTTAATAGGCCTCCTAATTGATTGCAACAAGAAGAGGCAGGCCAGGGGGATGAGCCCAAATGGAAGAGTGATGAATGTGAATACATGAGACCCTAAACCAAAGCAGGAGCCTGGCTCTGCCTTTTAGCTGGCAGGCTGTGCAGTGTGTTTTGTCATTGTCCCCATAGGCAACATTTGGGAGTGGAAAAAAGTCTGAATAAATGTCTTTGCTAAGTTAGCTTATTCTCTTTCAGGGTCGGGAAGGTCCAGCTGGACCTGAGGGACCTGAGGGCGAGAAAGGAGAGAAGGTAAGGAAATGAAATGGGGACTTAGCTCTACATCCATTTAATTGCATGGGCAGGAATGCACAGCCAATACCTACACTACTTTTGGAGTGTTATTAGTGAAGTACATATGCAGACAGAAGTGGCACATTCTCCCTTATACCGGTAAATTAAATTGTTGGGACTGGGTGAGGAACAAGAAATTTGCCTGTATCATATACATCTTCTCCCATGTTGGGATGCTCTCCTTCCACAGTCAACAGATGGCATTGTCTATGAGTGGACAGAATAGGGAAAAGTGGTGCACTGTAGGCAAAGGAGGGTTATGGAGACAGAAGAGGAAAGGTTGAGGGTAAGCTCTAGCATTCAGGAATGCCCTGCAGCCTCACTCCACTAACACTGCAAACATCAGACCTTTGGTTTTGATTGATTTATCGACATGCAATACACTCAGATGAGCCAGCAGGCATAATCCCCGCCTTCCTCTAAAGAACTGCATTCTTCACAGTCACCCTTGAGCCCAGACTGCCTGCTTATGACCCTGGAGCGCCTTATTTTCCTTGCTTGCATCAACAGCCTCGAAATCCCCAAGAGAAGCTGCTCTTCCTTCTTGCTACTGGGGGGGACCTTATCAGGCTGGGAACTTCTGTATTACCCCATCCTGTGTAGTGAAAATGCCACTGTCTTTGGGGAAGGGGCTCTTAACATGAAGGGAAGAGGGCCTTGAGCATCTGGTGGGAAGTCAAATATTGCAAACTCTCCTGGCACGTCTGTGACAAAATATGACAGCCTACTGTAGCTGTTCAGAGACTGATATTGCCAGAGCTTGGAGGATGGGGCTTCCTCAGTGTCAGTCCTCCCACATGGTATTCTAGTTTTGGTTGAATGTCCTGGTTTCTCTAGGGTGAAGCAGGAGATCCTGGAGGAGTTGGCATCGGTGGTCTGGATGGAGAGCAGGTATGCTAGGTGCCGGAGGAAATCCTGATCCCCGTCCCCTTTTCACCCCTTCTCATGGGCCCTGGTGAGAGAAGGAGGTTTGGGACAGCTTGTCCTGAACTGAAATGCTGAACTAAATTGGCACACATTGTTTCAAGCGTTTTGTCCTGCTTTGGGAAGGACCTCAGACAGATGCAGTCTGGGTCAGACAGGCAACCTTCCCCAAGAAAGCATAGCTGGCACGGGCACTCTCTGCAGCTGTTGAGGAACTTCTTGGATGGTCCAGCCTTCTCTGGTCCTGGCTCTGCTAAGTCACAAGTGTGTTGTTGGACAATGCATACACCCAGAGGGCATGCACATTCTTTAAAGTGTTGATGAGTTAGTCTGTTCTTTCATTTCTAGGGTCTTCCAGGGCTGCCGGGAGTGGAAGGTCAGCCTGGTGTCAAAGGGGAACAGGTCAGTCTGTAGGCTCAGTTCTGAAGTTCGTGTCTTGTTTAATACTTGCCTAATGAAGTGACACATGGAACGGAGAAACCAACAGGCTGCATTGGCTGCCTAGGTTTGGGAAGGGAATACTCTTTCTTAACATACATTTACAGGCCAGACGCCTATACAGCACTCCCCCAGGGACACCTTGGGACTGGGTTTTCTGTGGAAGTGAATGCACATATTTCTGTGGCCAGACATAGACCCTTATGCTCTGTCTTCATCTGTGGATCGAATGGGTGCAGAAAATAGAACTTAAAGGGAGACCTGCAACCCTTTTTGATAATAGTGCATTTAAAAAAGAAATGCTGCCACCCACGTTACCAGGTCCCTTTCATGCTGCTTCCACAACAAATGCAGGCAAATGTGTTTCACTTTCAGATTTGCACACTCAGCATATGGAGCTGTCACACCACAAGGTGGGCATATGCTGGTTCTTTAAGGCCAGGTTGCAGATTTGTGGTGTTTGGAATAACAGCAAAACCTCCCAAGCCCTTGAGATTTCATTGTTGCTACTGTCATTACTGCAGGGTTAGATTTGCAAAAGTGCCTGGGGAGCTAGGTACCCAATTCCCTTTGACTCTTAATAGGGGTCAGGCTCTCCAGTGCTTGAAGAGCTTTTGCAAATCCCAAACCACAAGTTACAGTCACTCCTCCTGGGATTTTTCGTCAGTTTGTTACTTCATATTATAGCAAGGTGTGTAACAGCTTTGGAATCCCACAGGGTTTCAGTGTATAACACCTATCCAGAAGAATATGTCTTTTGAGGAGAAGGTAACAATTTATAATGAAAGACTATGTATGGAGTGCATCGAGCATTGGCTAGATTATACTAAATGCCTGGCATTTTCCGCCTTTCCAGGGAGAAGTTGGACTCCTAGGAGATCCAGGTGTCAAAGGAAGCTCTGGAGAGCCAGGAGATGAAGGGCCAAAGGGACACCCTGGGAGACATGGGGAGCTAGGAAAAGAGGTACACTTGTAGATGGCCCCTGCCTTATGGGCCCCTACCAAGGTAGTCATTTCATTGCAACCAGCTCAAGGCAGAGTATGTGTCTGATTCTTGCCAGAAGCTGAAAATAGGGTGGAGTAAAGAGGCAGGGTTGGTTCAGATAGTTGCAGTTAGTAGACCAATCCAAGCAAAAAGAGGGCTCGGGGTGGGGGGCATTATGAAATTAGGTGGAGAGTGTCAAGGTCAAGAGTACAAGGGCCCTTTCTGATTGGCATCTTTTGATGCTTTATTTTCACACTGGTTTTTTGCTCTTTTCAGGGCAAGATGTTATCCATGGAGGCATCAAGAAAATTTTAGACCTCAGAAGGGGAGAATTAGGGATCATTAGGGACATACTAGGGTGATGGATGGCAGCAGAAAAGCTTGAGAGAGAGGCAATCCAGATTCATAATAGTGATGATATCTTTTATTAGATCAAGAAGATTTTTGCAAAAAAAATGTCTTTAATTGCAAGCTTTCAGGCACAAACACCCTTCATCAGGCATAGGAGAGAGATTCATCAGGCATATGGAAGAGACAGTGCACATGGAGTGGTAGCATTAGGAACAGAACCCATATGCTTTTCAGGTTAAAAAAAATGCTGCATGGAGCTGATTGAAAAGTGCTGGGTATGTGCTGGTGTTGCATATTTTGACTTTGCATTGAACTGCCCCTTTCCTGCCTGCCAACCTAATTTGTTTTTTCATAATGTTGTGGCTAGAAAGTATCCAAAATTGGGAGAAGGGGGAAAGCACGTCCAGCCCCACAGTTTTGGTTTTCGGGTTTATTGTCCAGCTTGTTTTTGGTTTGGTTGCGGTTGGTGTGGGGGAGGAAGTTGGGGAAGAACTGGAGACTATCTGATTTTTTTTTTGATTATGTTGAAAACATATTTCCTCCTCAAAGAAAAGACGTTTAGCTGAAACACTTTTGATCCAGCCCAAGCTTCATAGGCAGGTTGGACTTGATTTCTGCTTTCCAAACTCATTTGGTATGACAATACTCTCCATTTCCTGGTCAGGGATTGTTGCTTCATACCGTTGAGCTGCCATCCCTTCAGTGGGTCCCTGTGTTCTGGCTTCAGAGTATGTTCCCTAATTGGAAATTGCCAAACTCTTTCTGTTCCCTGTCCAGCCTGATTTTGCTCCTAAATACTGTATCAAAACTACCACTCTGCCTGTCCCTTGGATATGATAGCACTGGAAATACATCTCAGTAGACTGTCCCAGCTATAAAACCCTAAAAACAAGTGAAATTCTTTGGTGCGACAGGGGCAGACCTGGGAACGTGAGATCTCCCTTTCATGGGTCAGTGGATAGAGTTTGCAACTCAGCATGTGCTGATAACTCAAGCTGGCGCTGGTAGCCATGTACCTGTGCAATGCACAAATTCTCTGCCAGAGAGTCCAAAATTCCTTGCCAGAGGTTTAAATCCATTGGGAGTCCCTGTAAGAGGCCTCAAACATCGGGGACTAGCTGAGATAGAGAAGAGATGACCTGCCAGGTAGAGGAACTGAATGATTGATCGCTGTAAATCTGTGCCTAAGAGACTGCTTCTCCTTCACAGGGTGATGTCGGAGACACTGGAGATCCGGGCGAGCCAGGCCTCAAGGGAGAAAAGGTGAAGAGTGTCTCTTCCTTGATTTCCCTTTTGGCACCTAAGTTGCCACATGTGAGGTGCTCAGCCCATCCGTTGTGATGTGGTCCCCAGGGAAGATGCTAGTGGTAGGCCTGGATTGTGGGTGGGCCTTTATAGGCCCAGTGTTAAGGTTGAGATTTACAAATAACACAGGGATTATAAACCTCTTTGCATATTAATGCTGTGGGACCAGATATTCAGGGTGCTTTTAAAATTACTCGGAGCATTAGCTTAGAAGCCGGTGAATTGCTGTCTCATTTTCTTTCTGGTTTTTTTTTTTTACCCTGCGTTCAGCTCTTGATCAGAGTTCCTTTGTTTCAATTAACGTTCAGGGTGACGCTGGCTCCCGGGGTCCTCCAGGAGTGCCTGGATCAGGTGCCAGTACGGGGAATATTGGAGAAAAAGGCCCCAAAGGAGATAAGGGGCAAGAAGGTTTCCTGGCAAGTACTTTGAGGAGACCTCCTCTCACATGTCATCCTGAGCCCTGGTAGGAAACCTAGTGGAACCCGTGAGGATGGGAGTTCAGGCCTAATTGTGAATGTGGGAGACTCCCCAGTGGAGTTGTAGTGAAGTCACAACCCTTCCAATGGAGGGTTTTTCACTGCATCAAAAGTGTCTAATTTTACACAAAAGCAACGTTGCATTTCTTTGGCTGAAAAGGCTCCTATTTATCAGCACAAATAAACGATGAAAAACACAATGTGGTGCATCACTAGTTGTTAAGAAAAAAATGTGCCTTTTGACAAAGATCAGCTTCTGTGCTGTTTTTTAAATGCTTAAATCACACAAGATTTTATCCAAAAAAACCTCTTTTTTTTAAAGTAACCGCCCCCCCCCAAAAAGACAAAAAAAAAACAACAAAAACCATAAAAAAAGCCTGTCTATAAAACATCTAGCCTCTGAGCCAGAGAGAGACACCATGCTAAGGGTTTCTTCATAGCTCTTCACCTCAGTTAACTCTCAAGTTTCACCCTAAGTTTGAGAAAATCTCTGTCTAGCCATTTGAGTTCCTAGGGTTCCTTACTGACTTAGGAGTGTGATTTGTCCAAGCCTGTTCCTTGTACCTGGTTAAAAATATCTTGACCATAAATCTCTCTCTTTCCTTTTGCTATGTGTGAAATGTTGGGGGTTGTGCTTTAGGATGAGTGAATTAATTTGCCTAATGTTTTGGAGCCCCATGGGGAATGTTGGTGTTTTCCATTAGGGAGTAGTATGGGTCTGTCCCTGTACATGTGACTGTCTTATTCCCTGGCAATCCTCAGGCATGAGATTTCAAAGTTACATTGGTTGACTCGCATGAATTCATTTTCTCAGGCTTCTGGCATAGGGAAAACAGATTTGAATGCAGTTGCTGCTGTGGTTGGCACTACAAGTTCAGGCTAGGCTCAGTCAGGTGAGACTCCAGGATTAGTCTTCTGGGGGTTTTCCAGACTCTAATAACCAAAACTTTTCTCCCCTTTCCAGGGCCAGGTCGGTGTGATTGGCCTTGCAGGAGCAATTGGAGCCAGAGGACGAACCGTATGTCAGCCTTTGTACCATTCCTTCTTTGCTGATTACAGTGTTTCTGATGTAGTAATGTGGAGTTTGGCCATGTTATTGGTGTAGAGGCTGAGTAGTTCCTCTGCATAAGCAATTGCTTGCCTGACTGCATGCAACCTTTTCTTTTATTCTTTACAGGGAGAAGCCGGTCTCCAAGGTCTACCTGGTTTAGACGGCCCTGAGGGAGAGAAGGTACTGAAAAGAAATTACCAATGTGAAATAACCTTCCCTATTGTAATAGTGCACCATGGGTGATGGGAAAACTGTTCTTCAGCATGTGGTGGAGAGTTGTCTTTGGCTGGGTGACTAGCAAGGCACGTACCTGCTGCCATGGGTCTGGGATCTCAGAGAGCTTTGGCAACCGCTGCAATGCAAATCCTCCTCTTGTAATGGAGAGAAGTCAGTGAAAGGCACGTAGGATTGAAGACTTAGCTGTTGTACTCATTTCCCAAATCCCAGTTTCTAATAGGTTACCTATGTGCTATAGTACAAAGGGGTAGCCCTATGCTATAAGCAGAGTTTCCTCTGCAGATGCCATTTATTCAGTCACAAGGAAAAAACTGTAACTGGGATAGTATTCCAAATGGAGAGGGAGTTGTCAATGGCAAGGCCTATAACACAATAAATTATGCCAGAGTCTAACCTTCATCCCTTGTATGTGGAAGTGCAATGAAGAGGAGGAGCCTGTTAGGTGCATGAAAAATTTTAGTGGCTTGGAGTCCGGAGTATAATCAATCCCATGTATTCCCCCCAGGGGGATCGAGGGCCACCTGGAGTGATTGGACCATCTGGTATTGCTGGATTAGAGGTATGTGGCATTGGTGTTGTGTAGAGCCGCTCATGGGTCTTTGCTAAGGAGTGCTTTGTCCTCTTTGTGTGTGAAACTCAGGTCATAGATTCATAGAAGTTGGGTCGGAAGGGACCTTGTAGATCTTCAAGTCCGACCCCCTGCCTGGGCAGGAGAAAAACTGGGCTCAAATGACTTCAGCCAGGTAGGCATCAAGCCTCTTCTGAAAGACCCTCAGGGTAGGAGCCAGCAGCACTTCCCTTGGAAGTTGGTTCCAGATCTGAGCCACCCTGACAGTGAAGTAGTTCTTACGGATGTCTAATCTAAACCTCCTCTCCAACAACTTGTGGCCTTTATTCCTTGTCATGCCAGGGGACGCTAGGGGAAACAAGGTCTCTCCCAAACCCTTCTGGTCCCCCCTAGTGAGTTTATAGATGGTCACTAGGTCCCCCTTCAGCCTTCTCTTGTGGAGGCTGAACAGATTCAGGTCCCGCAGTCTCTCATTGTAGGGTCTGCCCTGCTGCCCCCGATCATGCAGGTGGCCCTCCTCTGGACCCTCTCCATGCTGTCCACATCCCTCCTGAAGTGCGGCGCCCAGAACTGGACACTGTACTCCAGCTGTGGCCTGACCAGTGTCACGTAGAGGGGGAGCATCACCTCCTTGGTCCTACTTGAGATGCACCTGTGGATGCACGACAAGGTCTGGTTAGCCCTGCCAACTGTGACCTTGCATTGTCAGCCCATGTTCATCTTGGAGTCAATAATGACTCCAAGATCCCTTTCTGCCTCCGTGCTCTCGAGAAGGGAGTTTCCCGTCTTATAAGTGTGCCACTGGTTACTACTGCCCAAGTGCAGCACCCTGCACTTGTCAGTATTGAAACACATCCTGTTTTTGTTAGCCCACTCCTGTGACCTAGCCAGGTCTTGCTGCAGTCTTTCCCTCCCTACTAGTGTGCTTGCCTCACCCCAAATTTTGGTATCATCAGCAAATTTAAACAGGTTGCTTTTCACCCCGTCATCCAAACCGCTGATGAAGAAATTGAACAGCGCGGGCCCAAGGACCGAGCCCTGGGGGACTCCACTGCCCACTTCCCCCCAGGTGGGATATGACCTGTCCACCACCACCCTCTGAGCATGACCCTTCAGCCAATCTGCAGTCCATCGGACTGTGTAGGCATCAATGCCACAGTCGCCTATTTTTTTAATGAGCGTGGGGTGGGAGACAGTGTCAAAGGCCTTGCTGAAGTCCAGAAAGACTACGTCCGCCACGACACCTGCATTCAATGCTTTTGTGACCTGATCATAAAAGGCAATCAGGTTGGTCTGACATGACCTGCCCCTAATGAAACCGTGCTGGTTGCCCTTGAGCATCATCCCTGAAGCCGGTCCATCACAGATGTACTCCTTGATGGGCCGTCCTGGTCATGTCCTGGAGCAGGGTGTGATGAAGTGACTAACGGTTGTGGATATCTCAGTTCTTGGGTGTCCATCACAGGCATTTTCAGGAAGTGCTGGCAGTCGCTCTCTGAAAATTGGAATGTGTAGGGTGTCTTGACTTCAGCACTCAAAATCACCAGTCCCTAGATGCATTTGACGGAGCATTACCTTTGAAAAGTGCATCTTGGTTTACTTGTAACATGCCCTCATGGCAGCTGGGAGACAGCCTCTCTGTATTCCAAGATTTATCCGGGAGACTTATACAGCAGGGGGGAGTAACAGTGAAACCCTCCGTCTATTGGGGACAGAACTTGGTGACATTTTTCAATTTCAAATTTTTAGGTAAAAAATGCAGATTTAGCAACAGCAACGTTTCATAAATTAGTGTCACTAACCCCCCCCCAAACCACAACATGATTAAATGTCTGAAACTTTTGTGGTGGAAACTCACATTTTGTTGGAAAGTGACCTTAGTTTTAGTTTTAAAAAAAAGGGGGGGGGGATGGGGAGGGGGGTGGTTTCTGAAAGGTCTTTGGAAGCAATGCAGAATGTTCCCTTTGGCCCATGGTGAAAAGGCTTTCAACTTTTTCATCTGTTGATTTTTTTTTTAAATCTTTTTTTGTAGCAGATCAACCCAAAACAAAAAAAGGGGTGTATGCCAGCCCCACAACTGCCAAGCAAAATCAATGGGTTCTTACACAGATCTAGTCGCGGATCATCTGTGGGAGGGACAGAATAGTTATTTCCCTGTGATCTAGGCTTCCCAAGACCACCATCCAGAAAACTGGGTCTCCATAGCCCAGGACTTGGGTATCACTGTAAGACCAGATTTTGCACTGTGTGTATATCAGAAGATATGGGTGGGTGATCACAAGAGAACTTAAGGACATATCCTGTAGGAGAGACTGACTCACAAGAATTCCTAAATGTTTCTGCAGGGAGCCCCAGGAGAGGATGGACTAAAGGGGGACCAAGGCACGCCGGGTCCTAGCGTAAGTACCAGCTACAGTGACTAAACAATTGCATGGAAAATCATTTCAAATCAGGTTTTTAAACAGACAGCTCTTTTAGTAAGCTTTTTCTGTACTCTATTCCTTTTTTTCTTTCAAAGTATTAGTACTGGTGATGGTTCAGCAAGGGCAGTGATGCCATAAACCAGGCAGAATCACACAACACCAGACTTTGTCACAAATGGGACACAGGCATCTGTAGTTCCATGCAGGTGGGGAAATACCACAAAGAAGGGCCTTTCTTGGAGGGATTTGATGCTTTTGCCTGTAGTCTGGGGTGAAGCTGGAAAGTACACTGGGACAAATGGGGTGCAGATAGGAATTGGCAGAAAAGATTACCAGCCTTGGGGGCAGTGATTCCAGGATAAGAAGAATACCCGAGTCCAGACATCCCTGAACCTTGCATGTCACAGAATCTGAATCCAACTAGTGCATTAGTGGTCTCTCTCTGGACAGAATGATGGCATTCATTGTAATGCCCTTACATAATTGCTCAAAGTAACATACGGGCAATGCAAAAGGAAATTCAGGAAGGAATCAATCTAGATAAATGCTTTCCAATCAAGTCATTATTTTCTGGTTTGCTCTAAACTTGTAGTCTATAATAAGCATTTTAAGTGCGGTTGTTAACTAGACATGTGGCTAAGTATAGCTGTCAATGTGCAATTAAGATTCAGTTACCAGCTTGTTTTGGAAAGGTACGGTCCATTTTGGTTAATTTTTTGGTTTTGTAGAACAGTTGCGAGTGAATCATTAAGACCTGGAAGCTCACCAGAAATGTGCCTCGCTGATGGCCCATGGCATGTCATGTTCCTAAAAAGGCCTATCCATTAGGTCTAAAATTATAGGGGAAAATGACTCCCTTGCTTCTAACTGTGCACTGCCCGGTGACTGGCCACACTGCAGTGACAGTCTGTGATCGCCGTGCTGACATGTACAAAGCTCTGCAGAGGTATTAATGATGCTGCACGACTTAATTGAAGAAATAAATCTTGTCTGGATCCTGATTGTTACATTTTCAAAGATGGCAGCTCATTTCCTCCGGCCACAATTACTTTATGACTTCAGTAGATTCTGTTTGCAACAAGACTGGAAAGCAGAAGAAACTCTAGCAGTACTTTAAAAAACCCTGAAAGGTGCCTGGTGCTTAGTCATGGGTCAAGAATCTAAAATGCCTGGAGCAGGACGTTATTGGGCAGCAAGGCAAGGGTTAGGGTTGTGCTTTTAGATTGGGTACAGTCAAAAAAAAAAAAAAAATGAGCTGGGTGTGTCAGAAGACAAGTTCGAGCTGACCGTTTTAGATCCAAAGCTGGCTATCCACTTAGGTCATAAAGGGTTGGATCATTTATCTAATTTGGGCCCCTAGCTCTTTTCTCTGGGTCTCCCATGTCTGGTTATAAGTTGTTTGCAGCCATTATTATGTAGACAAAGTAGTTCCCTAGAGGTTTTTCCACTGGTAACGTTACCAAGTCCTATGGAGAATGATTCTTCATGCACTTGTGCAACACACTTACAGTGAAAAAGGGTTTTGGGTAGGTATTAGAAGACATGCCCTGGCTCTAAGATTAGGCAAGCACTTGAACAGGCTGCCTTGGGAGGTTGTGGATATTGTTTAAGTAAGTGAAAACGTTAAGAGAATATGAGACAAAACTCTGTCAGGACTGGTTGGGATGGGCAGGGACTGTTGCCTCACAGCAGGCAGGTGGCCTATATGACCTCTTGAGGTCCTTTGCAGCCTGTGCTATGAATGACATTCCTAAGGCTGTTGCATCTCCCTTTTCCTCCGTACACTCTCTAGGGTGCACCAGGTTCCAGTGGGGAAAAAGGCATCCAAGGATTCAAGGGTTTGTTCGGGCCAGAAGGACCCAAAGGAGATACTGGCAAGAAGGGAGAGACTGGCCAACAGGTAAAATTATTCTCCCTGCTCTGCTCCACCCCCTTCACTCGCTTAAGGAAATCCCATATGAGCCCAGACTCCCTACCAGCACCCCTCTGTAGGCACCTCTGGACCTATATGGTTCATGAATACATGCACATTCGGCCTAGCCCCCTGTTCCCCTGTCCCTGCAAGAGCAGATGCATGGTTTGGGCTGATGCCAGTACAGAAAGGATATGCTCTCTGGATCATCCCAACCTCAGTAGGTTGGTCTGGGTTTTCAGTGTGTGCTTTGAGCACCTGCAAGTTGGTTACTCACAGCACTTCCATAGGCATCCTCAGTCTATTGTCACCAGCAGGCAAGATAATGAGTGAATGTCAATTGTTTTGTCCTTTCCCCCACCCCAAAATGAATTCAGGGGTTGCACGGGTCACCTGGCGAAACAGGAGCACCGGGACTACTTGGCACTGAAGTGAGTAGGCTGCATTTACTGCATTTTTTAGTAAACACAGGGCACATAGGTTGAATTTGCCTTCATGGCGAGGAGTCTAAATAGGTAGTACGTGTGGGTACGGCAGATGGCTGAGACTGCATCAGATCCCATAGGTTAGGGGGGTAAAGTGAATGGAATACAATAAAAGTAGATTGTACTTGATTGCACAGAATTCTGGTTTTCAGCAAGGTATTCACCACAGCAGGAGTAATTGGACATGAAACCTTTCATTTGGAAAATCATAAAGTGCTGTTCAGTTTTTACAACCTGACGTGGATTATGTTACACAAAAGCCAACATGAAAAGAACAGTAATAAGGTTGCAAACTAAGACCCCAGCCTCGTTCTGTGTCCCAGATATACTGCGCTTGTTTAATGAGCTTCTATTTAATGTCTTTCTAATGGGTGACCCTAAGCCTAATTTCTGCTCTTCAGACAGAATTCATCATTTCCTTGTGGGCTTTTTCAGTGGCGCTTATCACTGAGACCTGCACAAGTGAGACCTTTCACCTTCCGCAGCCCCCCTGGGGCGTAAGAGAGTCTCATCCCCATCTGCAGAGGAGGAATTGGGCTCTGAGGGTCAGTTCCAAACCATTAGGCACCTGGCCCCACAGTGTGCAGTTCCTGCATTCCCTGCTTAGTGCATGGGGAGATTTAGGCACCTCACATCCAAAATATCCATGTACCAAGCTCCTTAGTAGTAGTCAGTAGGCAGTGCTAAGCACAGGGGGTATCTAACAAGCCACACCAGTTATGTTCCTGTCACTACCCCCAGTGTGCCAGAGTGTGTTCAGTGCCACGCTCAGCTTCACTGAAGAAGCAGAGCACATAAGTCATGAAGCATGTGCAAGGAAGGGATCAGCTGGTGTATGGACCAAGGTGGCTGATAGAAGGTCTCAAGTGTCTATTTACGTCTTCTGTAAGCTACTGGCTGGCAGCAGAAGCCATCGTTTTGTTGGAGGGGTGACCTTACTCTGCCATCAGAAAGAAGGGGGTCTGCTTCTCTGGAGGAGCACTGAATGTGGACACGCACAAAGTTGTGCTGGGAAAGGTACATAGTGCTAGTGTAAAATGTTGATAGAATAAAGGGATCTCTGTAGTCAGGTCACCTCAATATGTGCTTTAGAGAGATGTATGTGTCATGGATTGATCATCTGTTTTGTATTTGGGTTTTTTTCTCCCACTAGGGCCTGGCAGGCAAGAAAGGGGACCAGGGTGAGCCTGGAGAGCCGGGGCAAACGGTGAGGGCATGGAGAAACAGGCAAGCCACACATCAGTTCTGGCTGCATCAGATCCCTTCTCCCTGAACACACATACTTCCTCTCTTCTAGCTCCTCTTGTGTTTGTAAAGTGTACTTCCAACGCCCAGCCTTAGAGCAGGGCTTTAAAATTTGGCCTTGTGAAGAATCCCGGAGCTATCAAATACTCTTTCCCTTATCTGAATACCAGCTTTTTCCCTGCATTTTTTAAGATCTTGTAGAAACAGGGAGAAGCTGTCATGTGGTTAGCGGAGTGGGTGTGTGAGCGAGAGGGTGGGAACAGAACCCAGGGCAGAGGCAGTTGGGATCTTTGCTAAATTAACCTCCATTCCTGGGTAACTTGCTGCCATGTCTGCATCATTTTGATGAAGACAGTTCCTTCTTCCTGTCGATTTTCAGGGGCCTCAAGGGCAGTCGGGTCCAGAAGGGCGCAAAGGTCAGAAAGGAGAAAAGGTAACGTCAGAAGTCTTTCTCTTATGATCATTCACATGGGGAAATGAGGTATCCTCCAAAAGGATAGAGAGGGTTTCTATCATACGATGAAGTGGATGTGGAGTGCATTAGGTGCTCAGTGTCAGGGGCGGTTCCATGCAAGCCGCCATGAACTTTGTCACCGTTATCTGCCAGTAATAGTTTTCACATGTATAGCTCCTTTCATCCTCAAAGAAAAGTTAGTGCTTTGTAAGCAACGCTGGAATAGCTATATGCTGTAGGGAACACTGCACAGGAACCTGCCGGTGACAAGAAATACCATATCTGGGCGAGGTAGCAGTGGGAATCGGGGTGGGCAGGAGAACACTGTGCCAACTCTCACTGCACCTTTATTGCTGTCACAAAAGAAATGGGTAAAAATGGTGAGGTGACCCTTCCTGCTTGGACAGCATAGAGTAAACGCAAATCCAGGGACCTGCAACCTGGTGTCCTGAGCCAGAGGGGCCCAAGAGCCAGAAGTTTAAGGCCACCTTAGCAGCTGAAGAGACCAAAGAGGACAAGCATCTAGATGCCTAATTTTTACTGAGAGTAATGTGAGAAGGAGGGGCTGAAATACATTTGTACTAGTGACCCTAAGGTATGAATCTCAGCAGCACATTTGGAAATCCCACTAGGCACCTCTCTCTGCATTTAGGCACCTAACTGGGCCTAAGAATGTGGCCTTGTGCCCTGGAGTAGGGTATCCTCATGGCTAAGGCAACCTAGGACTCGGGCAGCCCCAGTCTGTGCCTGCCTTTGCCACAGATTCCTGATGGGACTTCGGGCAGACCCCTGCTGCTCCTTCTGACCCTCTGGCCATGCATCTTCCCCACGCTGACCCACGCTTTGCTGCTGCTCCTTCTGCTTCCTCCTGCCCCCTGCTGCCTTTTGGGAGATGCAGTGAATGTTGCAGTTCAGTCCTCCCTGGAGGCTTCTGGGCATTGAGGTTCATGTTGCAACATCACAGTACATTACAGCTGCTTCCCTCTCATCCCTTGGGATTTTCTGTTCCCAGTTTCCTTTGTGTAGAAAGCAGTCAGTCCTTCCCCCTCTTTAGCTCTCTGATGTCATCTGCTGTCTGAATTATGTCTCTGTTTCCTTAGGGGGACATTGGGCATGATGGGGACACCGGCTTCCCTGGCAATCCTGGCAGAAGGGTAAAGTGGCACCATAATCCCGGAGGCCAGTCCAGCACCAATGTCTAAAGGCTTTTTTAAGCTACTGGCTAAAGCTAGCCCAGGCATACTGGCCTGAGTGTAGCTAAACGGTGGTACTGCAGCCAGACTGGGGAGGTGCTGGGTGGCTCTAGAAAAGTGGGGGAAGGTGCCTGGGAGCTGTAGCAAGGTGAAGGGGAGAGCACAGCAGGACTGGAGGTGGCAACGTGGGGGCAGCCTCAGGGTAGGGTAACAAGGAGGGTAGCACAACAGCTTCAGAGGTAGCACTGGGATATTGTGGTGCTGCAGAGGGAAGCGCAGTTTTACCGAGAGCCTGAAATGGGGATGTGAGCAGGGAACTGGGACTTGGATAACTCTGGGTTGCCTGGATTGCCAGGAATCCTGATCCTTTATCTTTGTGCAGGGCAAGCGAGGCAGAGCTGGACATCGGCCCCCAAGAGGCCCCAGCGGCCCCAAGGTAGGAAAACCCACCCTCCACTGGGCGTACAGTCCTGTCTAGTGCCTGAGGTCCCGTGCTATTTGTCTGTACCCTGTACACACTTGCCTGGACCCTTCAGTTCTGAGTGCCACGCACAGCCAACCTGCAACACATTACCATCAGATGTGTGGGTTTGTAGCTAGTGTGAGTTAGATGTCTCAGTAGGCACGAAGGCAGGCCAGGGCCCCTCCCCATGTCTCTAGCACTTGTTTTTCTTCCCCAGCTCTCTGTTTTCCTATGGGCAAAAAGTGCACCAGGAGCTGTTCCCACCTCACTGGTACACTGACCCAACTGAGAAAGATCTCTTCTGCTTGTACCTTCCAGGGCTCTCAAGGTGAACCGGGGCCAGCAGGACCAAAGGGACCACAAGGAACACATGTAAGTATTGAGCCCAAAATTGGCCAGGCAGACCCAGGACCAGACCAGGCCAGGCAGGGGTTTTTCTGAGCCTGCTTTTACGAGGTGCAGATTGTAAAATACTGACAAACTTGCTAGCAGAGAGGAGTGGTCTTGTGAGGAAGGCACTTGGAAGAATGAGGGTCATATCTTGGCTCTGATGGAACCATTTTGCCAGAATCTGTGCATTTTTCCCATAAAATACAATAAACTCAGATGTCCAGGAAATAACATAGCCTTCAGGTAATTCTGCATGGCTGGCCAGGTGATGGTGATGGTAATTCAGAAATGGTCACCTTCATTCACACCATGGATGTAATAGTAGGCGTAGCAAAAAGCCTGCCACTTTTATTTTGTTTAAATGCAAATGTGTACATTTTTTTCTACCTTTTCTTTCCTCAAATGGCAACCACAACTGAAATACCAGCAACATGTTCTCATCACTGCCCTCTGCTCTTGTCCTCTGTAAAGAAAAGGGTTGGAAAAAAATATTCCAAGGCCAGATCAAAATTTTGGTGGAAGTGTCACCTCCAAAAGGAGGTGGTTGTGCTTGGTGAGGTTCCTGGGGGCCATAGGCCTTGCTGGTGGTCTCTCTCCAACAAAGAGTTCCTCAGTAGGGAATAAGCAAATCTACTATAGGCAGAGTGCAGCAGCTGATGGGAGTTTTGCAGATACAACCCTCTGGTTTGGTTTTTTTGGTTTTCTTTCCCCTCACAGGGCATTCCTGGACTGAAGGGGGTGAAGGGAGACCGAGGTCCGAAAGGGTCAAGGGTATGTAGTGTTCTGCTCCATCAGTCCCTTAGTCCCAGTGAAGGCTTTGTCCTCTGAATGTGATGCTGGGGACAGTCACTTATTCTTTACTTCCTCCAAACCTGTCCAGCTGAGTTGTCTCACTTCTTCCTTTGTTGATGTAACTGTTCCCATGACCCAGTGGAGATTCATGTATCAGACTCCTCCTTTTCTCTCCATTAGCTCTTTCCATCCCACTGTGACCACGAGGTGAGTAGTGTCCCAACCAAGGCTAGAAATCAGTACACAGAACTGGCAAGTGTACCCTGGCACCAGTCAGTCATGTGGAGCCCTCAGGGAAATGAACCTTGCAGTAAAGAAATTGTTTCAATATATCATCATATTATTGAACAAGGGCTGTCCTCATCAAGTCCAGGGCAGTCAGCCCATCCATGAGAGGGCAGTTCCAGCAAATTTGGGATCATTCATCCTTTGCTTGCTGCAGCAGGAGAAGCAGTGTCTGTAAGCCAGGTTGGGAAATCCTGGTTTCAGTGTGGCCAGGGTGAGCAAACCAGAATTTCCTTTTCTGTTTGCATAAACACATTTCCTGGAAATGTGCTGAAGTGTAATCCAGAAGCCAGAACATCTGGTGGTGTGCTTTTGGACCCGAAATTCTTTTGCATTTCCAGTTGCTGGAGGAAACTGAAAACATGACTTGCCCTGTCAAATCTGTCAGTTGAAAAAAATTTTAAAAATGCAGAAGCACAAATAAAGAAAAACGAGTTTTCCAGTTTGCTGTAATTGGCAACAGCACAGCAGGGCTCTTGCTTTTATGATGGTGGCAACAGTCTCCCTCTGCATGGTGAGCTTGTGATAAATGCATGCTTTTAGCCGAAGCTTTCTGATGCGTTCTTAGCTAGAGTTCTCACCAGTGACCTAGCGAGTATGAACTCACAGGCTAGAGAAAGTGCCCTGGAGTGGAATACGTGGAATAAGTAGACTCGCTCTCAAAGTAGCTTCCCTCCTCGCAGAGTTAAAGTGGAAAGAATGTGTATATGAGTAGTTTAGAGATTTCATAGATGTTTGGGGCTGGAAGGGACCTCATGAGATGGAGTCCAGCCCCCCTGCCAGAGGCAAGAAGTCTGCAGGGATCAAATGATCCCAGCAAGATAAACATCCAAATGCCCTTTGAATGAGTCCTGAGTAGGTGCTTGCATCACCTCTTGGGGGAATCTGTTCCAGACCTTGGACATTCGGACTGTAAAGAAGTTTTTTCTTATATCGAGTCTGAATTGGCCTCCTACAAGTTTGTGGCCGTTAGACTTAGTTTCCCCTTGGGGTGCCCTGGTGAACAACTGTTCTCCCAGATCCTGATGCACCCCCCACCCCTTATATACTTATATGTGGCCACCAAGTCCCCCCTGAGCCTTCTCTTCACCAGGCTGAAGAGTCCCATGTCCCTTGGCCTCTCCATGTAAGCCTTGCTGTCCTGGCCCTCGATCGTACGGGTGGCTCTCCTCTGGACTCTCGAGCCCGAGAGAAGAAATATTTTGAGGCTCTGAGCCGTCTCTGAAGATAATGGCTGCATAGAGACCTGTATCTATTGACACTGCAAAATGTAAATGTACATCAAACTCTATGTCCCTGATGGTTAGGGTGGATGCTTTTGGTCCAAGAATCCCGTATCTCAGCAACTAGCAAAACCTCCAAATATATCTGCTGTAGCAGGGTACAGCTGATATTTGCAGGGTTCTACATGTCTTCTTTTCACCTTCCTTAAAGTGATTATTAAAGGGGATGTGGTAACATGGATACCATCTGACAGGTCAGCGCAGGAGTTGGGGGCTGGGGTGGTGCGGGCACTAAGGCGCATGGCTGACAGCCCAGAGGTTGTAAGTTGAGGCCATAGCAGATGCACTTACGATGCAGCCTGTCAGATTCCACTGAAATCTGTGAATTCTGCTAAATACCTTCATCAGGATGCAAAAAAAGAAGGAAGTGGAGAGGTTGCTGAGGCTTGTTGCATCTTCTAGTACTGATTTCTAACCTTGACTGGTCTTTCTAGGGAGAGAAAGGCAGTGTGGGATTTCTGGGGCCGCAAGGAGATGATGGATTCAAGGTGCGTAAGAGGGGTTTTTTCCTTTCCTTCATCACTCTGCCTGTTCCATATCCTGGAGCGTTCATTCAGTACCCTTTGCTTCTCTCAGGGCAAGCCAGGACCCTCAGGCCTTCCAGGGAGGCCAGGACCCAAGGGAGACCAGGTAAGATTGCTACGTCCCCACCTACCCTGGCTTGAGTGGTTTGTGGTCATGCAACACTGTCCCTTGTCAGGCTGTGTGGCCCCTGTCAGGCACTAGATCACAGTTCCCATGGGGGATGGAAGAGGGTGATGCTTCAGGCAGGCCAATGTCTGGCAGCTGGAGAAGTGGGGAGTAATGGTCATGAGAAAAATGTAGATGGCCTGCCTTGGAAAGAGGAATAAATGTATGCAGGCAAAAGAAACCATATCAGAAAGAGCAAAATGTAATGTATAGCTCTTTCTTTGAAGGGTCTCTTCCCTGCAAAATGCTCTGAGATGAGTAGGAAAATGAAGCATGGTGCTAGCTTTGTGTTACAGAATCTGGGCCTCAGTGGTAGCGACTTGTTGAGGAGTCTCCAGGAGACTGAGCAGAGCAGAGGGACTGGGAATCGGGAGTCCTGACAGCTGACAGCAGCTTACCATGTGGTCTGGGCAAGCTGCGGACCCTTCTGAACCCCGAGGCAGTCTAACACTGCAAGCAGAGGTGCCCAAGGGCCCCAGCCCCACTTGGGAAGAGGGCTGTCACCCTCTTCCCAAGTGGGTGACATAAATGCATAAAACTTTCCACACGTCCATCATCAATAGGCACCTCCTTCCCCAGCAAAACTAAAAGCCAGCACCTGTGACTCCAAGCAGTCATAAGAGCAGCCTTAGAGGGGGGTACCAAGGTCTGAGTGTTTAGCAGAAGAGGGCCAAAGAAGAACCAATGAGTGTAGGGTTTCTTTCTTGGCTGGGGGTAAGGAGGGAAGGGAGAACCCCTCTGTGACTCAAAGGTACAAGGCCTGACCCCCACGGGGTTGCACTGGGGAGGCAGCAACTCCACAGAGGGTTCGTAGAACTGCAGCGGGGACCCCGCACGGGGTTAATGCAGTGTGCTGCAGCAAGGGAGTGCGTGCTCTTTTTGCAAAGGGAGTGTGTGCTCTTTTTGCAGGGCGACATTGGCCTGTCAGGCCCACAGGGATTCCCTGGCCTCCCTGGGACACCGGTAAGCTTTCCTCATCCTCCTAAGGAGGGAGGGAGCGGGCAGGGATGGCAGCATGTGGTAGATGGGATAGTGGTCTCTTGTCCTGTGACAGGTGCTGTGGACTACAGGTGCCCAACACTGGCAGCTGGAGTAGCAGGCGTGCCTGCAAAATAATTACAGCAGCCCTTAGCTCTGTTGTCACTTTGGAGCTGTTAAAACCCAGCAGCCTCTGAGCTGGAGGACATCCAAGCCCAACTACTGAAAACACATTATGCTTTCTCCCAACATTGGCCTCTCTTGCAGTTTTCTGTAGTTTCTCATGCTTTGCAGAGGTTGTGCTGGCTAGGGGCAGAGTGGGGGCAAGTTGGGGTGCCCTGTCCAACACAGTTTTTGTGCCAACTCCTGAGTCCTTTGGCGGTATTCCTAGAGCACTCCTTGTTGCATTGCTCTCTCTAAAGGTGGCATGGGCTTGTTCATCCCAGGCCATGTTTATTTTTTTTTCTGTCTTTCTCTTCCAGGGCTTCTTTGGACAAAAAGTAAGTGGGGAATGTTGTTGGACTGGATCCTCAGTCCTGTCTTTAACTGTTTTCGCCCACCCCTGACAGAAGTTGTGTGCCCATGTCCCCTGTTCATCCCGTGGCATGCTGTGCACAGTGCAGGGGCAGTGTTGCCTGGGTTTGGAGATGCTATTCTGTCAGTCTTGCTGCCTGTGGGGAAACGTGGGAGCAACCCCTTGTGTGTGCCCCGAGAGGCCCTGATGGCCTCATCTTCTCTGCTCATAGATTTCATAGACATTAGGGCTGGAAGGATCATTGGGTTCAGTCCCCTGCTGAATGCTGCAATTGGCCCTAGGGAGCCCAGTGCCCCGAGGAGTGGAAGGCTGGCTTTCTGGAGGTGCAACAGTTTAACCCAAGCGTCTGCCACTGACTGCCCACGTGGGCACATGGAAGGCTGTCTGGGTCCATTGGCCCTGCTGTGATAGATAGTCTGAGTGCATAGGGAGCCGGCCAAGGCTTTGAAGCTGAAAAGGGGTGGAGTGGTGTTGCCCAGACCGCTGCCTTTAGTGTCGTGGCCAGGCCTGTACAGTTTCCCCAGCCAGCAGGGTCTACGGGAAAGGGCAAGGCTGGCGGGAGTAAGGAAGCTGCAACAGAAAAAGCCACTGACCGTGGGAGCACTGTTCCCGCAAGTCACCATGAAGGCAGTTGTCCAGTGGTTCCTGTGAGCTTCCCCGCATGTGGCAGGAGGATTTGGGAGAGGCATGAAGGCTGAAGAGATAAGGAAGCACCCAGCCCCCCTCCAGGTGCTTCCTTGCACTGTGGGGGTAGCAGTACTCTGAGTAGTGCATCCCAGGCAGCTGCTGCCTCGTCGATGTATGTCAAAGGATCGGGCCAACGCGTGTCAGAAAAGCACAGAAGTACAAGTCCTCCCGGCTTCTGGTGATGTAAAGCCAGGGCCAAACCCCATAGGCCTGACTCCAGCCTGTGACCCTGGCCCCCAGGGAGGGATTGCAGCCAGTGCTGCACTGTGCCTCAGTGATGTCCTCCTGTCTGGTATGGTGATGCCCAGCCTCTCCATCACCCCCTGAAGCTCTTACGATGCAGGCTCTCACCCTGGGAAGAGTTGAGAGTGGGCACCAAATACTGGGGGGCCTGAGCTGGTGGGGCTACTGACTTTGTGAATGGGATCAGCAGGCGTTGTGAGTGTTTCTGCAGGGCTGTCCCCAGCAGCACAGCACCATGCTGAGGATTTTTTTTCCCATCCTTCCTAACGGCAGGGGCTGAAAGGGTTGCAAGGCCTCCCAGGATGTAAAGGCAAGCCGGGCCTGCCGGTAAGTTGAGCTGGGTTTTTTTTTGTTGTTGTTGGTTTGTTTTTTTTTTAACATTGTCTCCTGCCCTTTGGTTTCCCAAGCAAAAGAGAAGTGACGCCAAGCTGTGCTAGGAGGGTGGTAACATTGGTGGTGTTGTTCTGTAGGGTTCACCTGGCCTTCCCGGTCCACGTGGAGCAGCCCTAAACCTCTCCATGGAGGAACTGAAGGTGAGTAGCATTGGTCAAGCCTGTGACAAAACCAGACATGTGATGGCGGCTGTTTCCTTTGGTGGGGAAATGTCTGTGTCCTGGCCCAGTACGCCTTTCAGGCTGGGGTCTGTAGGAGGCCAAAGCTTGTGGTAAGCAAGGCAGGCCTGTCAGCGCGGTAAGCGGTACCTAACAGGGACGTGCTGCTCTCAACCCCCAGCTCGGACCCTTTTTGCTTCAGGAGTGTGTGCAGTGTAGGAAGGGTTAAGCAGAGCTTGCAGCTAAAATAGAAGTGGGAGAACAGAGGGTGCCGCGTGATCAAGAGCCTCCACTTCCCTGTATTTGCATGACAGGTCCCAGAGCATGGGGATCCCCTCCAAACCGTCCCTTTTGGTTTCCCAAACCCAGCAGAAAAGCTGTAAACCAGGCTCTGCTTTGGGCATCACAAGGTTTCCTCAATGAAGAACCTCCATGGAGGAAGCAGCTGAGCTTGGTAGCGCTGTGGCAATAGGCCAGAATAAGCAACAGATGTTGGGGTAATGTGCCCAGGCCTGTGACTGTACTAGGAAGGTTGTAGGGCAGCAGGTGTTTTGGAGAACAGCACTCCCCCCCCATCCCCTCTGAAATCAGGGCCCCGTTGTGCTGCGCGTTGCTCCAGCCCATGGCCCGTGACAGTCCCCACGCTTAAAGCCTAACTAGACAACAGCAGTGGCAGCATGCAGGGGGTTGGTGGCTGGAAGGAGGGCAAGGGTAGGGTAGGTGTAAATCTTTCATTTTGTGTCACCTCTTAGCACCTGATTTATTCCTCCAACAAACTGAACTACGACACAGTCTGGGCTCTTATGGGCAACCTGAGCCATGAGTTGAAGCTGCTCGTTGACCACCCAAATGGCACCAAGGACAACCCAGCAACCACTTGCAAGGAGCTGCTCTTGGCCCAGCCTCACCTCCCAGATGGTACAGAAACGATCTCTTCTCCTCAGGGCAGGAGAGAGGAGTTGGGGCCCAATATGGAAGTTGTGAGGAAAACAAGCCCCATCTGGCCCTCAGTAGACTTGGCTTAGGCTGCAAAGTTGTATTATTCGCTGATGTGTAGCCATGATGCAGCCAACCGAGAATAGGACCTAGAGAGAGGCAGGATCCAGAGGGTGCCTCTGAGCTTGGTTCCAGGCAACGTGGTCAGTCCCATATTTCCTTGAGCACTGAGTTTTGCCATTGTAAGTGGGGGAGCTTTGCCCTGCCCATCCTGCCCTCCTACGGGGAGGGTAATGGCAGAACATGCAAACAGCCAGGGGTCAGCACAAAACTGTTTTCCTTCTGGACAGAGGGGCTGTTTGTTGTACTGGTCAGAAAATCTCTCTGAGCATATTATTCCTACACATGCAGTCTCTGCATCTCTTCCCAGTCCTCTGTCCTGGCATCAGCAGGGCCCACTTAGAGATATCTCTGTTGCTCCTGATATATTTTGGATGCCAGGGAAGTCTGGCATGGGGCATGGAGGTGACCAGGTCATCCCGTCAGACTCAACAGGCCTGTGATCTCCAAGTCTGTGGTCACACAACAGGTGTCAGTGACTATAACTGCTGTAGGGTTTGTTCCCTGATATCAGTTGCAAGAGGCTGTGGACAGACAGGGAGCCAGATTACAGGGTATTGGTCAGCAGGGCCGGATTAACCCTTTAGTGGGCCCTAGGCAAACAAACTCGTGGGCCCCAGGCGAGCCGAAACCCTCCTCCCCACCCCAGCGCTGCTGCCCGCGGGGAGCGAGGCTCAGAGCCACTACTAGGAAGCAGCTCCGCGGAGGGAAGGGGAAGGGGAAGGGAAAGGAAGGGAGGCGGATGGGGCCATTCGCGCTGCCGCTGCAGAGGGAAGGACCGGGCCCCTGCACAGCCCAGGTCCCTAGGCGTACGCCTCGCTTACCTATGCGTTAATCTGGCCCTGTTGATCAGCTCCGAGTCAGGAAGTGGCAGGGAGCAGGGAACAGGCTGAGCAAAAGGCTACCCTGGGATAGCCAGCGATGCGGATTAAAACTGACTGCGCATAGTACATATGCCATGTCCCACTCATACGTGGGAACTATGAGGGTTATGGGGACGGTCACTATACACAGGTGTTAGATTGTCCTACAGTAGCATAGGGTCCCCTCCACTATGGTGCCAGTGGAAGGCCAACTAGGCCTGCGTAGATGTGTCACCTGTCACAGCTCCAGTCACAGGACAGGGGAGGGTGAATGCAGCCCAAGTTGCCCATGGAAAACTGAGCCCTACATGTTTGAGAATTGGTGTGGGGAACAAAGGTGACCTCACCACAGGTGCCTTGGGAACTAGTGTCCCTGGGCGTCGAGCTGTGAAGCTGACCTAGGTAACCAGTGCTCACGGCCAGCTGTCTGGTCCCCGCTGTGACTGGCTCCCATGTATTTCTGGTGCCCTAAGACTTTTTTTCTCTCCTTTCTGTTAGGGTATTACTACATAGACCCCAACCAAGGCAGCCCCCAGGACTCTCTGCTGGCTTTCTGCAATTTCACAGCGGGGGGAGAGACTTGTATCTCTCCAGTGCACAATCAGGTAGGACACGTGGCTTGCAGCAGGAGGCAGAGCGGCTGCTTGATGCAGGGCTCAAACTTAAGGAACAGGTGGGAGCAGAGCCTGGCAGGATGAGTGCAAGGACCTGAAATGGGGGCAGGGAAGGGGAAGCAAAAACTAGAGTGGAGGCTCGGGAATTGGGAAGGAGGAGAGCAGTGAGTGCAGGGCACGGGCTGGAGAGCTAGCTCGAGGGAAGGATAAAGGAGACTTGAACCAAAGCCTTGAGCACCCAAGACTAATGCCATGCATCTTTGTCTCCTGTTACCCTGCATGTGGCGGGCAGGCAAAACTCAAGCAGCCAAACCCACAATTTGGTCTTGAGGACCTGATCTGCTGAGGGAAGAAACATGAGGAAGAGTAAGCAGCATTTCATCCCAACAGGGTGGTACCTAAGGGGGACAAATAATCTTGTATTCCTGCTCTAGCATCCAGGACATACTGTGGGATGATTTAGGTAGAGGCCCTTCGAAGTGCAACTGATACTGCCCATGTGGGGACCAAAGTTGCATACCGGGGAGGGAAAGGCAGGCTGGGCTTCGCAGTCAGTGATACGGTTTTTGCCCATTGCACTACAAGTCCAGCTGTGTAAACCTAGATGCAGGCATAATTGGATGTCCAGAGCCGTGAGGCCGCCTCCTCACTCACTGAGCGACTGGCAACACTCTGCCCTTGCCCTTAGGTGCCCATCAAGGCCTGGCTGAAAGCATACGCCTCCGAGGAGACCTTTGAGTGGTTCAGTTCCCTGCCTGGGGGCTTTCTGGTAAGCTTTCCTGTGCCACTGCAGAGATGTGGGGATGGTGCCCACACATCTCATGGTCATGGCAGTGTGGAGCAGGGTTGACAGTGGGAGGGAGCAGGGATGTTCTGGCGGAGGAAGTGGCAGGATCCCAGGTGATGGGATCAGCTGTTGCAGGGTTGGGGGAAGCGGGGGGGGGGGGGCTTGCAAATCCCCTTGC